GAATCACATCCCATGGCGATGGAGAGTGTGACTAGCAAGACTTTCTAGAAGATTGTGTTATATTGTGCTGTGTGGGGCATGAGAATCACATCCCATGGCGATGGAGAGTGTGACTAGCAAGACTTTCCAGAAAATGGTGTTATATTGTGCTGTGTGGAGGTATGAGAATCACATCCCATGGCTATGGAGAGTGTGACTAGCAAGACTTTCCAGAAGATGGTGTTATATTGTGCTGTGTGGGGCATGAGAATCACATCCCATGGTGATGGAGAGTGTGACTAGCAAGACTTTCCAGAAGATTGTGTTATATTGTGCTGTGTGGGGCATGAGAATCACATCCCATGGCTATGGAAAGTGTGACTAGCAAGACTTCTAGAAAATGGTGTTATATTGTGCTGTGTGGGACATGAGAATCACATCCCATGGTGATGGAGAGTGTGACTAGCAAGACTTTCCAGAAGATTGTGTTATATTGTGCTGTGTGGGGCATGAGAATCACATCCCATGGCTATGGAAAGTGTGACTAGCAAGACTTTCTAGAAGATGGTGTTATATTGTGCTGTGTGGGGCATGAGAATCACATCCCATGGTGATGGAAAGTGTGACTAGCTAGACTTTCCAGAAGATTGTGTTATATTGTGCTGTGTGGGGCATGAGAATCACATCCCATGGTGATGGAGAGTGTGACTAGCAAGACTTCTAGAAGATGGTGTTATATTGTGCTGTGTGGGGCATGAGAATCACATCCCATGGCTATGGAGAGTGTGACTAGCAAGACTTCTAGAAGATGGTGTTATATTGTGCTGTGTGGGGCATGAGAATCACATCCCATGGCTATGGAAAGTGTGACTAGCAAGACTTTCTAGAAGATTGTGTTATATTGTGCTGTGTGGGGCATGAGAATCACATCCCATGGCTATGGAGAGTGTGACTAGCAAGACTTTCCAGAAAATGGTGTTATATTGTGCTGTGTGGGGGCATGAGAATCACATCCCATGGCTATGGAGAGTGTTACTAGCAAGACTTTCTAGAAGATGGTGTTATATTGTGCTGTGTGGGGTCATGAGAATCACATCCTATGGCTATGGAGAGTGTGACTAGCAAGACTTTCCAGAAAATGGTGTTATATTGTGCTGTGTGGGGGCATGAGAATCACATCCCATGGCGATGGAGAGTGTGACTAGCAAGACTTTCCAGAAAATGGTGTTATATTGTGCTGTGTGGGGCAATGAGAATCACATCCCATGGCTATGGAAAGTGTGACTAGCAAGACTTTCCAGAAGATGGTGTTATATTGTGCTGTGTGGGGGCATGAGAATTACATCCCATGGCGATGGAGAGTGTGACTAGCAAGACTTTCCAGAAGATTGTGTTATATTGTGCTGTGTGGGGCATGAGAATCACATCCCATGGTGATGGAGAGTGTGACTAGCAAGACTTCTAGAAGATGGTGTTATATTGTGCTGTGTGGGGCATGAGAATCACATCCCATGGCTATGGAGAGTGTGACTAGCAAGACTTTCCAGAAAATGGTGTTATATTGTGCTGTGTGGGGGCATGAGAATCACATCCCATGGCTATGGAGAGTGTTACTAGCAAGACTTTCTAGAAGATGGTGTTATATTGTGCTGTGTGGGGTCATGAGAATCACATCCTATGGCTATGGAGAGTGTGACTAGCAAGACTTTCCAGAAAATGGTGTTATATTGTGCTGTGTGGGGGCATGAGAATCACATCCCATGGCGATGGAGAGTGTGACTAGCAAGACTTTCCAGAAAATGGTGTTATATTGTGCTGTGTGGGGCAATGAGAATCACATCCCATGGCTATGGAAAGTGTGACTAGCAAGACTTTCCAGAAGATGGTGTTATATTGTGCTGTGTGGGGGCATGAGAATCACATCCCATGGCGATGGAGAGTGTGACTAGCAAGACTTCTAGAAAATGGTGTTATATTGTGCTGTGTGGGGGCATGAGAATCACATCCCATGGCTATGGAGAGTGTGACTAGCAAGACTTTCCAGAAGATTGTGTTATATTGTGCTGTGTGGGGTCATGAGAATCACATCCTATGGTGATGGAGAGTGTGACTAGCAAGACTTCTAGAAGATGGTGTTATATTGTGCTGTGTGGGGCATGAGAATCACATCCCATGGTGATGGAGAGTGTGACTAGCAAGACTTCTAGAAGATGGTGTTATATTGTGCTGTGTGGGGCATGAGAATCACATCCTATGGCTATGGAGAGTGTGACTAGCAAGACTTTCTAGAAGATTGTGTTATATTGTGCTGTGTGGGGCATGAGAATCACATCCCATGGTGATGGAGAGTGTGACTAGCAAGACTTTCCAGAAAATGGTGTTATATTGTGCTGTGTGGGGGCATGAGAATCACATCCCATGGTGATGGAGAGTGTGACTAGCAAGACTTCTAGAAGATGGTGTTATATTGTGCTGTGTGGGGCATGAGAATCACATCCCATGGCTATGGAAAGTGTGACTAGCAAGACTTTCCAGAAGATGGTGTTATATAGTGCACAGAAGATGGTGATATATAGTGCTGTCTATATATATATATCACATTATGATGGCCAGTGTGGCTAGCAAGATCCATCCACAATTAGAGCTTAGGATTTCATGACCACTGTTGCTATCACATGTGTTTAGTGTGCTCATTCCCATTATTCAGCTGATGTGAATAGTAATTTTCCCTGGTCGTTGGGTAGAAAGATCAGACGCCTGTGTGTACTATTGCGCACGTAAAAAAAAATCCCTTGGCAGTTGAAAATCTGAAAGAGTAGCCTAACGGCGCTGCCCGGGCATAATTTGGAGTTTAAAAACCTATCGAAAGTATTTCAGAATACTTGACGGTGCTACGGAGTTCGTGCACTGTGCTGAGAATCTTTGGACTCAGGCTTGAGTTAGAAGTAGAACAGAGCACTTGTGCCATGATGTTGATCCGTGGTCTAAACCTAAACCTGATTTTGTCTAAAAAGTACGAACTAGTACTGAAAAAAGGCATGAAAAATTCCTTTACTGACTCTATGTAAGTTAAAACACAGCATACATTCTTAGAGTTTAGAAATGTTTTTTTTTTTTCTGACTGATAAGATCAGTACACATCGCTGTATCATCTACTCATAGCAGCAGAGATAGGGTTTTTGAGAAAAATGCTGAGAAAATCATGGAGTGATAGAAGAACAAACAAGGCTCTCCTCAAGATGGATAAGAATGATCAATTAATTAGAGAAATTGAACATAGTCAATGTTATTTGGACATGTTGTGAGAAGAAGTTAGGACATGTTATGAGAAGGAATTTGTGCCTGTTACGAGAAGGAATTCAGACATATTATGAGAAGGAATTTGGACATGTTATGAGAACTAATTTAGACATATTATGAGAAGGAATTAGGACATGTTGTGAGAACTAATTTAGACATGTTATGAAAAGGAATTTGGACATGTTATGAGAACTAATTTAGACATATTATGAGAAGGAATTGGACATGTTGTGAGAACTAATTTAGACATGTTATGAAAAGGAATTTGGACATGTTATGAGAACGAGTTTAAACATGTTATGAGAAGGAATTTGGACATGTTATGAGAACTAATTTAGACATAGTTATGAGAAGGAATTTGGACATGTTTTACAAGAATTAATTAGGTCTTATTATGAGGAGGAATTTGGACATGTTATGAGAACTAATTTAGACATATTATGAGAAGGAATTTGGACATGTTATGAGAACTAATTTAGACATATTATGAGAAGGAATTTGGACATGTTATGAGAAGGAATTTAGACATATTATGAGAAGGAATTTGGACATGTTATGAGAACTAATTTAGACATATAATGAGAAGGAATTTGGACATGTTATGAGAAGGAATGGACTAGACAGCTTTATGATAACTGAAATGAAATAAATATCTAGACATAGGGGTGGGACAAGACAAGATCATTAGCATGTGTGTGACTGATTTAGACATGTTATGAAAAGAAATGTGACAGTATGAGCTTAATCAAGAGCATATGTGTGAATGCGTGGGGTGTTATGAGAGAACTGAGAGAGAGATATCCACATTTATAGAGAAGGAATTTGGGACATGTTTTTACATGGAATTAATTCCTCCGATTGAGCAGCCACTCCAAGGCACCTCTGCTGACTGTTCCCATCAGGAACTGGTAAAAACATCTCCTGTCTTGACCTCAAAGGCAGCATAGACGTGCATCACCATTCTTTACTTCAGTTTCACGCATTCATGTTAGTGTCAGAGATTCATCATTATCCAATGTGTGACGTGGATGCATGCCAGTGTGCAAATGTGTGTGTGTCTATATATTTATATATATACAAATTATTTCACATTCATTGAAGAAAAAAAAAAGTATGCCTTAATTCTAATTGAATTATTGTTTACCTTGATTTATTTCTCAACTGACAGCCGAGTACTGTTTCCCGGTGAAAATCTATGTCACAGACAAGATTTACGACATCTTGGTACCCGATACCAAGTGTTGTAAGATCTTAAGGAAGGCAAACACTGCAAGCATGTCTGATAGTGACAGTATGCCTGGTTTCAAAGAAGACCGCCTGGCAGTAGAGGAGAAGATTAGTAAGTGCAGGGATAATTTGCTTTTTCACTCATTCTATACTCAAAATGTCACCCCACTTTTGTCTCAGATACTTTCAGTCAACTAAGTCACAGATTTTTTTTCTTCTTCTGTGTTCGACATCAGTCATGCTAGACATTGAGTCCCGTCTGGGTCACAAATAGGATTGTGCGTTTAAGGTCGCCACCTGTCCCCAATAGCTTCTCTTGCAATGTGGCTTCCTTGGGCCAGATCCACAGTCTTTGCTGGGAGAGGTTAGGGCAGTACTGTAGTATGTGCCCAGCGGTCTGTCTTTCTGCTCCACAATCACAGGCAGCAGATTCTTTTATGCCTATCCTGTACAGGTGTGCTTAAAGACCACAGTGTCCAGTCCGAAGTCTAAAAATTGTTGTTTGTTCTTTCCTGTTGAGTTTGTTTATGCTGTCACTCTCTGGTCTGTAATCTCCATTTTTCCTTCTCCACTCCCGCTTGAAAGACTGCTTTAGCGCTGTTTTGGTTTCTTTGTAGCTGTGTGGTGGATGAGGTTGTGGAATATTACTCCCAGCTTTTGCCAACTCATCTGCTCTCTCATTTCCTTGAATACCACAGTGGACTGGTATCCACTGCAAGACCAGTTCTGCTTCCTTGGAGAGTAAGCCAATGTTGGTCCTTAGATCTGCAATTAGTTTGTCTTGTTTTTTGCATGATAGTGCTTGTAGAACAGACAATGAGTCACTAAGTATAACAATTTTGTGCCCTCTGTGTTCTTGAGTGATGAGATGTTGGACTGCAGAAAGGAGGGCAGTTGCCTCAGCTCTGAAGTTAGTGCAGATGTCACCTGCTGGTAGAGAAAGAGTTTCTGCTCTACTGCTAGGGGGTTTAATGTATATTCCACAACCCCCCTTTCTGACTGCTTCTGTAGCAGAGCCGTCGGTGAAAACCTGAGTCCAAGTGGTGTTTGGATACTTCTCATCAAGCATAGCAAGAACCAGGGTTCTCTGTTGTGTCTCCGTCTAGGCATCTTTTGCAGTGATCCCTGGTACCATTAGGACTACATTTGCCTTCTCTGGCTTGCTTGTCTATGGTTCTGGCCTAAGTTTTTCGCACAGTGCTACATCTCTTTCAAGCAGATCTCGGTGGTGTCTGTACAGTTCTCTAGCAAGGTGGTTGGGGCTCTGATGCTTCAGTCTGTTTTTTGTTCTCTCTTGAAATTTAAAATGTAGTGGATGGCTTTCAAGTCTTTTTTATTTCTCATACTGTAAAAAAGTTTTGTCTTCTGAGTTCGAGTGGTTCAGTATCTGCTATCCTCTCTATCTCTCTGATGGGGGTGGTTTTCATGGCTCTGAGAACAATCCTTAATCCCATATTCGAAACCTTGTCCAGTTTTTCCGTTGTTGTCTTAGCTGCTGCAGCCCATGCAGTGGAGGCATATTCCATGACTGGCCTGACTGCTCCAGTATATACTTGTTTTAGGATTCTGGAGTTGGCGCCCCAGATGATCCTTCATGCTATGATGTCACTCTGTCCAGCATCTTTTCTCTCTGTCTCCCTCTGCCTCTCCTCCCCTCCAACTTTCCTACTGTCTTGCTGAACTCGAGTTTTCTCCTTCTCATCACATGACCAAAGAAAGTAGATTATCTCTTTCTGATGTGGGCAACCAGTTCTCTTCATGAGTCACTTTCTTTCAAGATGTCTTTATTACTCTTTTTATCGGTCTAGAGTATTCTCATCATTCGTCTATAAAACCACATTTCTGCAGCTTCCAAAAAAAGTTTTTACTAATTTACCAACTTCCCTATATCAGTTTAGGATTTATATATAGCTTTTAAGAATTCTCTTTCTCGCCTCAATTGACAAAGAAAGATTGCATAAAATATTCTTCATTGTGTAAAATGCTGCCTGTGCTTGAGCTGTTGGACATTTAACTTCCTTAATAGGTCTTCTATCTGATGTTATCAGGGTACCCAAGTACTTAAACATATCAAATTGCTTGAGCTTTGTCCAGTTTTCTTCCCCCGTCCAGTTGTTAGTCCGGTCAAAATGGACGCTAGACAGTGCCACTGTTTAGAGCCGAGGCAAATTGTTTGCTTCTTCTGGACGGTGGCCGATGCTCAGGCGGAAAGTTCTGGTTGTTCGTCCACTTCTGGGCTCTAGTCCTATTCCAGAAACTGAGTGTTAAGTGCGCATCCATTTCACAGGTCTGACTCATTTGCATGCAGACTGTTGGTTGCTTGTCTCTCAGGCAGATGCTCTCTTACTTCAAAGGAAAATCTGAGTCGACTCTTGCGACATGCTTTTGGACGGGCTGTGGGTTTATTCTTGTTTTCCCCACAATGGGGCCCTAGAACCCGTTAGGGAAATATAAAAAGAGGACCCTGTGAATATTTTGGCTGAAAAAGATCACAAATGTGGAAAACATTATTTTCATCACTGGCAAAAAGAAGAAAGAAAGTAGATGGAGATTGCTTGAAGATGTTTGCAAAGTGCCTCATGACACTTTGGCAAGAACAGTTCTTTGATGGACTGCAGATGGGGGGGGGGGGGGAGGAGGAAACTTGGATGGCCTAAAGAGACGTAGATGGCCCAAAACAACCTGGAGAAGGACACTATATGGGTTGTTGTTGTTATCGATCCAGCGGCGCATGAGCTTTCGCCCTTTGGCCCAATGCCATGTAGTGAAATTTACATGTTTTCACAAGCTGTTCTTTTCCTCCGTACAAGGTGTTCCTCTTGTCTGGTCTCGGAGGAAGTAGCATTCTTCTTGTCTCGCTGTATATAGGGAAATGAAGAAATACCCTGTGCAGACAAGCAGCAGAGGAGATCACCTGTGATTGCCTTATCTGTCAACAGCAGTATAAAGAGAATATAGAATATAATAGATTGAGCACAGAAGGTTGGTTAGTGCAATTGCCACAAACTGTCCAGGTTTGGATTTTTACACACCCCCTTCCCCACCCTTCCTCCAAAGTAAACTTACCAGTACCATGCCAAGGATTTGAACCCAAATAAGAACCTTTCATGTCAGCAGCTCGGCTAGCCACTCACCGTGGGACTAATGTTGCACTATTATCCAGCTGAATATGTTTTCACAAAACTTTTTCCAGGTGAAGCCAGAGAGCAGCAGATGTGTGTTGTCAGACTAGCCCAGGACAAGGTCAACAAACTGAATGCATGTTTCCCCACAGACAGTCTCAGTCGGACGAAGACTGCAGCATTTAATACATATGGACAAGAATACTTGTATGACCCCATTCTCCAGGATGTTCTGGAAGAAAGAGGCCAGGCTATGTCTGAGGTGGACCGTTTATGGGCAGATGTTGTATCCTTTGACTGACTGAGATATTTCCAATAGACCCTCTGTCCCCCTAACAAGCACGTTGTAATTAGGGATGTTTCTTTTGAAGCAGGGGTGCATTCTTCCAGAGGGGCAACGAACCAACAGTCTGCATACAAATAAGCTGCCAAATCCATAAAACAGATGTGCATGTGAAACTCATTTCTGGAATAAGGCCAAAGCCAAAAAATTGGTTCTTTATTAATATCCTACCCCAGATGACGTCACAGGACAGTCCAATATTTTAGAGAGTGGTAAGACTGGATTTCCCGGCTTTCTGATGCTTTTAATGATCCCAAAACATCTAGAACTGGCCCTAACTCCAACCCACCTACGTCCCACTAGAGAGTGCGACCTAGGTCCCACGACTGCATGCAACCTATCTACAACTCCCTGAAATATGAGACTGTCTCATGACCTGTGGATTTCCCCTGTTTGGGGTAGGATATTAATAAAGCACCCAGAAATGGTCAATCAACTAGAATTTCCTCCTAGTGTTTATAGCTGGTGAATACTAAGAAAAAGAATAACTTACATATAGAAGACCCTCTTCCACACGTTCAGGCACTTTAGGCATATAGGGCTGGACCTATTTTTTATAGACCAGTCAGCACTTAGTGCTGTATTTGGTCAAAACTATACCAGCTGCCTTTACTTCCTAATACCCATTTAAGGCTGGGTTGATCTGGGAGCCAAAGTCATTTAAAAAAAAACACACTCTGGCCTCATTGGCCCCTCTTTTTAGATCCACAGGCAAGTGTCTAGCCGGCAGCTCTCAACTTACATATAAGGCATAGCCAATTTAAAGAATTGATACATGGAAGTCGTCATTTCCTCTTGTGAGACTAATACAGATAAATAGAATCCTTAACTAAAGTGTAGTTGGTCAGAAACCCGTACCTGTCCAAAATCATCACCAAAATTGACCTGAAAGCCCTCAGTTATCTGCGCAGACTGGACGTGGAAGAATTTAGACGTGGTTACCGGTTTCATTTTGTGAGTTTGCTTGCAGTAGCTTTTCTAAATTTGGTTATAAATTTATGTACGATTTTTTGAAATATCTTCCTCTTATGCCTTTAACTCTCTTGGCACTGACAGTGTACTGCACATTTTTTTGTTTGGGGTCATTCCAAAGATTGTATGATGTTCTTTCTATCTTCTGTCACAGGCTGTTGATGCGTTAACTCTTTTAGTACCAGGCAGTGTACTGCACATTTTTGTGTTGGGGTCATTCCAAAGATTGTATGATGTTCTTGCTGTCTTCTTTTACAGGCTAGTGTTGCGTTGACTCTTTCGAACGGCATTTTTAGCTTCACTACTTGTATCCCCTGTCGGCACGTGTGGCTTAGGCATTATAAACACGCTTCATAATGCGGTGGGGCCATGTTTGATTCCAGCTGCAGGCCAGACTGCTTTATGTTGGTTTCAGCAGCAGTAAGAGCCAGTTGGTCGCAAGCAATGGCAAACTACTAAGGTAAATTTCCCTAAAAAACCGCGACAGCCAAAAAAAACAATGCTGGGGCTGGTTCTGTTGATTCCTGTAAAGAATATACAACTAACTTTTAACTTGCATTCCGTTGTGAGTATGTTGAACTCCTTAAGACTGTAGTGAGTGTTGCTTTTGTTACTTAAAATAATAACTGCTTGGTACTAAAAAAGTTAATGCCTGGCTAGAGAACGACTTTCAGCTCAGGCCAAGTTGTTTAGAAAAACCGTATTAAAAGACTTCACACTCTTATGAAAGCCATACTGGGAAAAGAAAGGGGGGGGGGGTGGAGTTGAAGGCAAGCCAGCAAGAGGCAGCAATACAAGTGGGAGGATAACATCTAGAGATGGACAAACAGAAATCTGAGAGAATACATCCAAGGCAAAGAACATAGTGTGGAGATCCATGGCATAAACCTTGATTGTAAAGACAGCACCAGATTGACTGATTCATCATCTTAAGTAATCCCATCATTGCTATCTGCTACAGCTTACTTGTTGTCCTCTAACTTGTGAATCATTTCTCCATGAGTTTTTATGCCTCTTATCTTTTTTTTTTTTTTTTGGGCCCTGCGGTCTCCAGTGAAAGAATATTCTAATTATACTGTTATTAGAGCAGTTAGGAGACGATCCTTTGCCGGGAAGTCTAACTATGACTGATATCCTGATTCTGATTAAAACCTGTAGAGGAAACCCACAGATTTTGATAACTGATATATTTGTTGTAAGATTTGTTAATGTATATGTCTCTTGCATTTATCTTTGTTAATAACATTAGAGAGAAGGAAATGGGGGGTTGGGGGTGATTTCTCCACAGTAGTCTTTTTTCATTGGAATGGTGAAGTGTTAGGCTACAACAGACTCCAGCCACAGACGGTGAGGCAAAGTGTCCAGTTTCCTTCCATGTCATCTTGCCTTTCCAAACTCTTCCCAGAAATTTCTGGAAATTGTTTGGTACCCATTTTTGTATTAGGCTGTGTTGAGTCCATATCCTACCACTTTCTGGGGATTAGGCCTGGAGCACTGCCTTGACACATAAATACTCTAACTTCAATGCCACTGTGACTCTTTTTAAAAGTACATGAGTTAAAAGCTTTAGCTTCAGACTTACCCTCATGTTTTTATTATGAAATCTTCCTAACTATTTCATTGGGAACTTAGCGTCCTTTAGATCTTTTCTTTAGGGTATTCATATGTTTTAGAAAATAAAGATGATTGGTTGGTTCTGCACCAATGGGTGATGAACTGTTGACAGCAAATGAACAATGCAGAAGAGCCAGTAGATAATAACCATGTGGAGAGAATGTTGCAGCTGGGGAGTTATTAGATGTTCTGGCTTACACTGAACACTCAGAGGAAATGCTTGATGGACTTACAATCAAACTGTTACTGATATTATCAGAGCTGTGCTCCTGCTGCTGAAAAAGGGGATGCAGTGCTTATAGAAATATCCAGAGTGAAAAGATGTTGTTTCTTGACTTCTCTACTCGTGTATTTTTGTTTTTCCAGACACTGACCGACATCCATGTTTTCTGTTTCAGTACTTTGATCCTAACCCTTATTTCTATAATAAACATCTGTGTAAAGAGGTGTTTACTGATATCCCAAAAGTCTCTGCGAATTGTGTGGTTGTTGAAAGCGACGAGGAAGAAAATCTTCCTTGTGCCTCCAGTTCTATTCCTGTGCTGTGGAAGAAATGTCGGGTAAGTCATCAACCCCTTCAGTACCAAACCCAGAGTGGGTTTCAGAGCCCAATGATCAACCTGTTTAGTGCCAAACCCAGAGTTGGTTTCGGAGCCTAATGAGTAACCTGTTTAGTGCCAAACCCAGAGTTGGTTTCAGAGGCTAATGAGTAACCTGTTTAGTGCCAAACCCAGAGTTGGTTTCGGAACCCAATGATCAACCTGTTTAGTGCCAAACCCAGAGTTGGTTTCGGAACCCAGTGATCAACCTGTTTAGTGCCAAACCCAGAGTTGGTTTCGGAACCCAGTGATTAACCTGTTTAGTGCCAAACCCAGAGTTGGTTTCGGAACCCAGTGATCAACCTGTTTAGTGCCAAATCCAGTGTGGGTTACAAAGCCCTCTTTTTCGACATGGCATTCAAAAGGACAGGATGTTATCTCAGAGAAGTTATGAGGAAATTAAAGAAAAGTTTGGAGTTGCTGGAGAGCAGAGAATAGATGCTTGCCTATGACTAGAAGGTTTGAATCTAGGTCAGTGCAAATTGTTATAATTGACCAATGGCTCCCAGGTTGACCCGGCTTGAAATGGGTAACTGGATATGTCCTGGGAGGTAAGAGCAGCCAGTCTGATGATGGCCACATCACCCAGCAGGTATAGCATCATATGTCTCTTGTTTCAATGGGAGGGAATGAATAACTTGTTACTTAAATAAGCTTATAGATGTCCACCAGTTGTTGAATCAGGGTCCAGATGCGTTTCTGATCAGAAAGAAAAAAAGATTTGTAATGTAATGGAATGTATGAAAGAGTATGTATGTATGTATGTATATATATAAAGTAAAAGGACCTTTTTCCACACCTTCAGGCATATAGGGCTAGACCTGATATTTTATAAACCAGTCAGCACTCTTATGTATGTTCAATAAAGTAAAATATGAGACCAGTTGACACTCGGTGGGTGATGTGGTCAGCATCACGCCAGCTGCCTTTATTTCCCAAGGCTGCACCCAAACCTTTTAAGGCTACGTTGATCTGGGGGCCAAGGTCATTCTTTTTTTTAGAAGGACCTTCCGATCTGCAGGTAAACATCTAGTCACTACACCGTGGCGGTCGCATGTGTGTGTGTGTATATATGTATATATTGCATATATCTATATGTATGTGTGTGTATCTATATGTATTTGTGTGTGTGTGTGTGTATAAATATATAAACACCATAATGGTCTGGAGAGAATGGTAGTAGAGGGTATATGGTTTAAGAGGGGGTACAGGCAGAGGTTGACCATCACAACTGTAGACACAGGAGCCTAGGATGTCTTGTGTATGAAAGTTCATGATGCTGAATTGTTGGCGTGGAACCGAGTAGATAAGAGCAACATTCTGCTAATAACTTGCTATATGTTGATACTGTCAAGATATAGACAGTCTCCTTCTTCTTCTCCTCCCCCTCTTCTTCTTCTTCTTCATCGTAGTCGTCTTCTTCTTTTTTCTTCTTCTTCTTCTTCTTCTTCTTCTTCTTCTTCTTCTCCTTCTTCTTCTTCTTCTTCTTCTTTCTCTGCTTCTTCTTCTGTATTCTTCATTGCTGCAGATATCACCCACTATCATTCATCTCTGTAATTGGCCTTCTTTTTCTATTTGGGGACTCAAACTGTTTGTAGGCCTGCCTGTATATTATCTCTTCAACCGTCTTCTTTGAAATAGTGGAGGGAAAAAATTTGAAAACGTTATGACACCTGGCAAACTTAATGGGGAAAAACAAGAGAAAGACAGAAATTAATACCTGGATATATTGACCACATATTTTCAAGAACACAGACCTGAATCAGTACTGGTGATGTTCTTACGCTTAGCAGCACATGATGATTAAAAATGAAATAGTGTAACAAAATGCAAGCGATGAACAAGGTTGTAAACAAGTAGAGAAATGCAAACATGAGTTGTCTTAAAGTGGGTGCCACTGTAGTGCCTTGGCTAAATGACTGCCCACCCAAAGATGCTGAGTAGATTTTTCATGGTTGACCTAGTTTAAAATGGGTACCAGGAAATGTTTGGAGAAGTAAAGTCTGTCGGCATGATGTTGATCATTTCTCAAGCCTTTTGCCTTGCACTGTAAAAGTCGTGGGTTTGTTTCACACCTGCATGGTTCGGTTCGTGAGTGCATTTTTACTGAGACCCCTGGGGATCATTGCCAAAGCTATAGTGTTTAGGCTTTGTGCAATGCTCTTACAGGCAGCTAGCCATTGTGTGAAGAGAGACCAAGTCGTATGGGATAAAACCTGGTACAAAGAAGTTGATCCTCTTGAAAATAATTTGACTATAATAATTGCCCACTAAGCGTTTATTTAGTCAGTTATATCTATGAAGATATGAACCTAGCGTCGGATGCCTGATGCGCTACTGGCGGAGAAAAAGTCCTTTACTTACTGTATGCCTGATGATATGTGTGACAAGAATACTTGACTTTTTTTTCTTCTGTATCCAGCTCTTCTTATTATAGTCCTTGTCGTTTAGCATTGGTAGTCACGTCTATCCACAACCTTCTGTCTTGTTTATTTTCATCACTTTGGACACAGGTAATCTTCCATAATCCCTGCCATGTGGGGTTGATAGCCATGTCTGTCCATAGCCTTCTGTCTTGTGTACTTTCAGTCTTTTGGGAAACAGTTAATCTTTCATAATCTCTGCCATGTGGGGTTGGTAGTCAAATATGTCCACAACCATCTGTCTCGTGTACTTTCAGTCACTTCTGACACTTTTACCTTCCATGCCATGATGTCAAACTGTACAGCATTTTCTTTCTTGGGTTCCCTCTGTCTTTTTTGCCCTCCATTTTTCTCACAGTCATGATGTACTAATTTTTTCCTTGTCACCACATGATCAAAGAATGTAAAATTGTCTGGTATCCAGTTTAACATTGTGTATTTAAAATTGTTTAGAACCTGCTGTTGGACCTGACTCCAGACGGAGAGGTTCTGTGCCGATGCCCAGAGGATGACTGCATTAAATGTAACAAGGTTGTGTGCAAGCAGCAGAAGAGGTATTATTAACTCTTTGATCCCTGAACATCATATGATGCTTATTCATTCAGTATCATGCAGCTCAGCCTCCTCGGGTGCCTTGCCAACTGGCGTGGCCGGTCATGTCTCTCCACAGTCTACAATCTCCAGCAGCATGTATCAGTTTGTGTACCAACAGCCCTCCATGCCATTACAAAACCTCTTGCATTATCTTCCTCTGTCTTTTTTTTTTCCTCCACAGATTTGTCCTTTTTCTTCTTCTGCCTTTCTAACCCCCAGTGGAGCATAGGCCCTCAACCAACTCATGCCAAGTCTTTCTGTCCTTCACTATCGCATGCAGCTCTCCTCATGTCCTCCCCATATTTTTAACTTCACTCTCTAGCTCCCCTCTTTGTGTGGTTTTTGGTCTTCCCTTATTTCTATGCCATTGTGGGTTCCAGTGCAAAAACATTCTAGTTAAATTTGTCTTTTTGTCGCCTTAACTCATTAATTAATTATCTTTGTCCAATAACTCCTTGTTCAGAATGCTGAGCCTTACACTAACCAAGTATATACACATGTGATGAGGGCTCTGTAGCTGCAGTGTTCTCTTGATATTTGTATTTGTGATAGTGTAAAGCTGACTGGATTTATTTGTTTTGTTCTGTTTGATCTTCTTCTTCTTCTTTGCGTTCACCAGCTGTACACTCTGGCGGAAAGTTCTGGTTGCTCGTCCACTACTGAACTGCAGTCCTGCTCCAGAACCTGAGTGTTGCGTGTGCATCAGTTTTACAGATTTCATTCTCTTGAATACAGACTGTTGGTTCCTTGCCTCTCCGGCAGATGCACTCCGTCTTCAAAGGAAGCTCCCCAATTAGTCGACTCTTACGACATGCTTTTGGGGAGGCAGTGGGTCTATTCTTGTTTTCCCCACAATGGGGCCCCGGAACCCACACGGGGGGTTCTGTTTGATATCTTTTTATGTTTGGTTCTGAAAGAGTTTCATGATATCTAGACATTGATGTTTTACACCTACTGCAAACCTGTATTAGTTTCACTTGTTGTTTACTGAGGAATGCCTGGCCGAGTGTTTACAATGTAAGGTTGTCATGCGAGAGACCCAGGTTCCCCGTGTAAAGTGATGGAGTTTTTCTGTTGGGAGCAAAGTTAAACATCCTAACCTGCACAGTCTGTGGCAGCAGCACTAGCCATACGACTTTAATCCTCAAACATGATCCCTTTTCTTAACCACCCTAAAAAAAGTGGTAAAACAAACAGTAGTGACAGTTCAGTTGGGCCCTGACCATTTCTCTCTTGATATTCTGTAACTTTGAAGATCCCTGTCATTGATCTGGCCACTTTCCATGTGGATTTCCAGGCTTCATTTTGTGGGGAAGGACAAGAATTGACTTTTTTCCTTAACAAGGTTGTGGTTAAAGGTTATTGATTAAGCATTTACTTAAAAGGGATGTGTTATGCCAAAAGGTCAAGATATCACAGCCAAGCTGTAAACCACAACACAATGTGCCAGCTGCCATTTTAAGGGCCAGTGCAGAAGAGGTATGTGTGACCATGACCATTGTATATGATGTTGCACCCTAATCTCCGCCAATAAATTGTTTTATTTTGAACTTTTTTCTTGAAACTTCACTAATCTGAATATCCATTTCCGCCATCACTGACAGCGTTAATTAATTACTGAGATTGTAAAGCACTGAAAATGTATAAAAATAACTGAAATAACACAAACATTTTCATACCATTAGCACATAGGGCATCTAGTAGTAGAGGTGCCTCAGAATTCAAGCAACTCAGAATTTGCAAGTAAATTTTGCCTTGAATGTCACTTTGGAAATCAAACGCTTGGTACATGCCAGCCAGGTGCTATTACACAGCACCGCATATGCTTTAGTTATTTTGCACACATGTCATTTCAGCTCATCCCACCCATTTTTTTTTTTTTTTTGACTTTTTGTTTTACACTCGAAGTTGTGTCTTTCACAAAAAAATAGTTTTCATGTAATAATTC